ACACACACCACACACACACACACACACACACACACACTTTGTGTTTTCTTCTTCCTTCATTTACACACACACACGGACAACGCACACATATACGCACACACACGCACACATGTACGGCACTCCCCATCCACATTTGCCCCGGCACGCCAACAGCAAAGGGTGGACGGCGATATATTATGCTGTCGCGAACAACCACGAGGCAATGGCGCGGTTTTCTGCTGCAGAGGGGAGCAAACGTCAACCACAGGGCCGATGATGTGAGGGGAGCATGTGATGATGGTGGTGGCGCAGTGTCACGATGCTGGGTTCACGGGGTGTGTATGTCATGGAAGGGAGACAGCAGCGTTTTGGTCATTTTCTTTTCTCCCCATGCCCTCCTTTGTTTGTATTGCTGAACTTGTTTGTCCCCCACGACCCCTTCACACCACCAGCACAACGACAGTCTCACCACCACCACCACCACCATCATAACTATGACTCCTTCCCTCAGGGCCAAACCCCGCTGATGGTTGCAGTGCACTACAAGCGCGTTCTCCCCGTCCTCGTTCTCCTCGCGTTTGGCGCAGACCCAACCATCCCAGACAACTCTGTGAGTGTCTGTGTGTGTGTGTGTGTGTGTGTGTGTGTGTGTGTGTGTGTGTGTGTGTGTGTGTGTGTGTGTGTGTGTGTGTGTGTGTGTGTGCGTGTCTGTCTATCTGTCTGTCTACTTGAACGCCCCGTCGCCTGCCAAGTCACCACGCCACCATCCGCACTCCATCACCACGCCACCACCCGCACTCCATCAACAGGGCCGGACGGCGGTTGAAGAGGCGGTGGCCGGCGGAGACGAGCAGATCATCAAGATGGTCCGAGCAGCCGCAGCGAGCAGGGTGCGGTGATGCTGTTACTAGTGGTGGTCGTGGGGTGATGGTGGTGTTGTTGGTGGTGTTGTTGGTGGTGGTGTTGTTGTTGTTGTTGTTGTTGTTGTCGTGTGTTGTTGTTGTCGTTGTTGTTGTTGTTGTTGTTGTTGTCGTCATTATTCATGTGCTGATTTACAAGATATTACTTTGACTCACACCCACACTCTTCTATCTCGTTGCATGCATGCGTGTGTGTATTGTACACCTGTCACATGTGTGTGTGTGCATCAGCTGCTGCACCGATCGTGTGTTGAGAACGACTTGGATGCTGCGCTCGCCCTTTTAGACAACAACACCGGGCCCGACACAAAGAATGACCAGGTGACCTTGAATGACAGGGGTGTTGTGTGCGCACGCTTGTTGTTATTGGCGTATGTGAAACAGAATGTCCTTGAGTGGCTTGGTGTTCGTGACTGACACACACACACACATACACCTTGACGCTCACTCAATCGCTCACACACACACACACACTCACACACACTCTCTCTTACTCACTCACTCACTCACTCACTCACTCATCTTGCATGATGGCCAGGGGAGTGCGCCAATTCACGTTGCCTGCAAGCACGGATCACTTGCTGTCGTGAAAGCGCTCGTTGACCACGGTGCTGACATCAACGCCCTGGATGCAGAGGTGCAGTCACACTCTCTTATCTTTGGTGGTGGTGATTTGAGAGTGGATGCGGCATGTTCATGGGTTGTTATTTCTGGTGTGCGCGTGCTCCGGCATGCACATACACACTCTCTCGCACTCCCGCACATACACACACATTCACGCATACACGCATACGCGATGGCCGTTGCTGCAGGGGAACACACCGCTGCATATTGCGACTCAGCAGAACAATCTTCCCCTCATCCAATTCCTGGTGGACAGTGGCGCCCGCACGGACATTTGCAACGACAGTGTAAGCAAGCATATATGCGTGTGTGTGTGCGTGTGTGTGTGTGCGTGTGTGTGTGTGCGTGTGTGTGTGTGTGTGCGTGTGTGTGTGTGCGTGTGTGTGTGTGCGCGTGTGTGTGTGCGTGTGCGTGTGTGTGTGTGTGTATGTACAAGTGCATGTGTGTGTGTGTGTGTGTGTGTGTGTGTGTGTCGAGATGAGGAGGAGAGAGGACGCGCAAGTAAACAACCCAAGCAAACAGCAAAAACACACACAAGCACACACACACACCTGCACACACACTCTCTCACATCACACATAACTCACCATCCTGTTCGCTGTCGTCAAACTTGAGCCGCTTCCCATCTGCCATCAAGTTGCTGATGGTGGCGAGAATTGGTCCCCGATACCCGCTCCCCTTCTCCTGTGCAATCAGGTCCGGCACACGCTGCGTCGCCACCTCCCACATCAGCACACCAAAGCTGAAGATGTCAGCCTCAAAGCTGTACTTGTCGCCCGTCAGTGCCTCTGGTGCCATGTACAGCGGCGTGCCCACGCCAGCCGTCAGCGTCATGCTCGTCATCGTCTGCAGCCCAGCTTGCTGGCTGTACTGGGGATCATCATTATGGCTGGACGACAGACGAGTGCGCTGCTGGTGCTGGTTCCTGTCTCGTGTGAAGCACTGGCGAATGGATCCGAAATCCGTGATCTTGGCGCGCAAGTTAGCAGATACCAGCACGTTGCCGCTCTTCAGGTCTCTGTTGTTGTTGAGTGTGACAGTGGTTGTGGGGTGAGAGTGGGGTACTAGACCGTGAGCAACAAACACTTGCTTGCATGCAGCACACACACACACACACACGAGCACGCACACACAGACACAGACACACACACACACACACACTCAGACACACACAGACACAGACGCACACGCACGCACGCACACCAATCCCACGCACCGGTGCATCTGGTCGAGGCTGTGGATAAAGGCCATGCCCCTGGCAACATCACGCAGCAGTCGCAGCTTTAAATTCCATGCAGTCATCGTCTCATCTCGTTTGTCGCTTCCTGTGCTCACCAACGTCAACTCCTCACCAAAATCCTCTGCAATCACGCTTGCATCTGTACCGCTATCAGCGCTCTCGTTCCTCGCGTTCTTCAACACCTGTTCCATGTCCTTCCTCAACAGGTCCTTGAGTGACCCCCTCGCCACAAACTCCAGCACCAGGAACGGGCTGCCGTTGGGGTCTGTGCCCGCACCAAAGAACCGCACCACGTGTGGGTGCCGTGTTCGCTGCAGGAACTCCACCTCCTTCTCAAACTCCAACACCGTGCTCTCGTCAAATGCCATGACGGCTTGCTGCAACACCTTCACTGCCACTGTGACTGTGTCCCACTCTGCCTTGAACACAACGCCAAACGCACCCGCAGCCACCCGCTTGATCATCCTCAGCTCATCGTACTCAACCTCCCACGCCTTCTTCAGCGCCATCACTTCTTCGTCTCGCTCCACCAGCAGCTGCTCCTGCAGACCAATGCGCTTGGTCAGGCCACGGTAGCGGCGTGACAGCCACGCCATGAGCAGGCCAATGCCAAGGCCGCCAATCACGGAGCCAGCGGCGATGCCGGCAACGTTGGGCTCGTCCACCACACAACGCCCACCCGACGTCATCTTGAAACCGCGGGCACACGTGCAGTGGAAGGAGAACACAATCTGGGGAGTCAACAGAACCGTATTAGCTCGAGGCCGCAAGTCCTGGTTTGACAGCTTAAGGGCACATTCAATGGGCGCATCAGTCAGCTGAAGGATGGGAGGAGTGGGGCGGTTTGGAATTGCAACGAAATCGGCCGTCCCAAACTGCTCATCTGATAAGACAATGTTCCGCTCTGTCACGCGATTGACCTCTGTCACCTGCCTCAGCCACAAGTTACCCGAGAGGTCCAACACGTCTGCCAGCTCAAGGCAGTTGCGTGCAGTCGTGGCAGCCTGTCGAAGATCGATGTCTCCGACCAAATTGCGAGTGAAGAGGATGCGTGTACCCCACCGCGTGCACAGCGCACCAGTTGGCGGAAAGTTGGTGTTGCTGATGTCGAGAATATCGATTGGAGGGGCATCAATGGATGTGAGCTGGGTGCAGCCGGACACGTTCAGCTCTCGAAGCGGATTGTGGACGGTGACAGATCGCAGGTGCTGGTTGTCGTTGAGAAGGAGTGAGTCGAATGTCTTGTCGGGACACAGCTCAATGGTTCTGTAGTCTGTGTTGGCAATGCGGAGCTCATGAACACTGCTTGCCAGCAGCTTGCACACCTCAGTGATTGGAAGCGTGCGGTTCATGGCGCCCGGCCAGCCCACGTGAAGCGTGCGTAGGCTGAGCGGTGGAAGTTGCTCGAATGATGGGACCGCGGCGCTGACGTCCACGTTCTCCAGACTTAGGGTTGACAACCGCGTAATGCTCGTGATGTTGGTGTCCGTCAAGACCGCCCTGGAATTCGCTAGCGGGGAGGCGTTGAGCTCAAGAATGGTGAGGTTGGACAAACGAAGAAGCGGCGCCAACTCCATGTGCTTGCTTTCATGGTTCTTCAACCGGAGGGTTTCCAGGGCAGGCGTGAGCGTGACATCTGGCAGCTCCTGCATGGGGTTGTCGCTCAAGTCGAGTCGATGAAGACGAGGCAATTCTCGAAACAGACGCAGCTTGGTGAGTTGATTGTTCTTCAGGTCGAGGAACTGCAGAGAGGACAGCTGTGCCGTTTCCAGGGAGCGAAGTTCGTTGTTGGCCAAGTTAAGATGCCGAAGTGCTGGGTTGTTGGCAAACAGGTTGGCTGGGAGCGTGGCTAGGGAGTTGGTGTGACAAAAGAACTGACCAAGGCGAATGCAAGTGTCAAGTAGCCCTTCAGGCAATGATGTTAATTTGTTTACACTCAAAAAGAGCCGTGTCAGCGCCGTCAAGTCCTTGAACACGCCCGGTGGCAGGGATGTCAGTCGGTTTTCGAAGATCTGCAAATGCTGCAGCGAAGTCAGGCCGGAGAAGACGGTCTCGTCAAGGGACGTGATGAAGTTTCGCGCCAGCCCAAGAACAGCGAGACGGGTGGTGTTTCGGAACAGTGTGGGTGGCAAGCTAGTGAGGAGCGTGTCCACCAGGTTGAGGTGATCCAGCATTGTCAGCGCAGCGAATACGTCGGCGTCAACTGTCGTGATTGGATTCTGCTGCAGCTGCAACGTGGTAAGGCTCGTGAGTTGATGGAACAGGCCGGAAGGGATGGCGCTGATGTCGTTGGTAAACATGGTCAGTAGCTGCAGCTGAGTGAGGTTATCGAACGCCTGCGACTCAATCTTGGAAATGCGGTTCTCGCCAAGGAGCAGCAGCTGCAGGACTGGTAAGCCCTTGAAAACGTCCTTTGCGATGCGACAGATGCGGTTGTTGTTCAGGCTGAGAGTTGACAGCGAGGTCATGCCAGAAACGTCTGGAACGGATGTGAGGGAATTGTTGATTGCGCGAAAGGCAGTGAGCTGATGTGCGAGAGCAAACCCGCTCGTGTTCACTTCCCGCAGCAGCACGCTGTCAAGTATCCATATCGTGTCGATGCGGGCCATAAGGTTGAGCTCGCTCAACTGAAATATGGGGTATTGCACACCATCCAAGACAACAGCATGGCACACCGTCCAATTGCCATTTTTCACAATCCACTGCAGCGGCGCTTCCTGCACGTGCCCATTCACGGCCAATGCGACCACGTTGCTGGAGATGGCACGTAGCCCGCTAGCATCCGTGTTGTCGTCCACGTCGTCATTCTCACTCAAGGTAATAGCGAGTCCTCCACGATGATTTGCGCCAGGACACGTACCGGTCATCACGCTTGCCAGCGTGCATTGCCCTGCCTGCACTTCAGGGTCATCATTCCGTCGCACACGCTTGTGTTGCAAACGTGACTGTTGTTGCAAGGGCAGCATGGTCTCGTTGCGGCGGATGGCGTTCACCCTCTCTTCCATGTACGTGCTGGTGGACCTTGCAACTGATGGAGCGGGAGGTGTCCTGTGCTCTCCATTCTCAAGCAGTTCCTGTTCCCCACGACCGTCCCCATTTCGATCGCCACACCCAAACGCAGCCATCATGCGGTGGATCGGGGACAGGTCGACAAGCGAAGAGAGCATGGTGTCTTCGCGCGTCATTGTGTTTCCAGTTGTAGGTGTTGTGTCATTGCGACTGCTGTTCCCCTTGTTGTTGGCACCGTGCTTTGGGAAGAACGGCACGTCGTTCACTTCAAGCACACGGACCATGCTGTCCAGTGTCCCGTGCACATCCGAGCACAACTATCAGAACGACATTGCTTGCAAGCAAGCATGTGAGCAGATGCCACAGCGTGCGCGTTGGGATGCAGGAGAGGAGAGGGGCAAGACGGGACCGAGGTCATGCATTCTGCATGAATCAATACACACTACTACACTACAACACGAAACGAACAATGTACACTGCAGCAGGACAGCAGGATAACAACAAAAACAAGAAAAACAAAATGCGCGACCACACACAGCACACCTGATCGTTTTGAGCGAAACCGTTTGCAGTGGATGAGCGTGCTTGTGTGCTGGCCACCGTGGTGGCAACCACCAACACCAGCAGCATGGCCACAGCCGCAGTCATTGGCCATTGCATGGCGGCGTGGCTGAGGAAGGCAGAAGGGAGCAGGCTTGAGGGCTTGAGTGAGCAGGTGTGCTTGGTGCTGGCTGGATGAGTTGAGATCAGTGAGACGGAGCGTCGCCTCAGTGCTGATAATCTGCAATACCTTCGCATAATATTCCACAACAGCTCACTCACGACGGATACACGCACACCGTTCTTTCTTCTGCCTGTCAAGGTGTTCACGCCAACACCAGGATGGGTGCTGGGGGTGGAAAGCTTCGCCACGTCAAGAAGGAGAGCCCCATCAACACATGGATGCTGCAGGAGACCCTAGGCTCAGGATCATATGGAAAAGTGCACAAGGTTTGATCGTGTGTGTGTGTGTGTGCGTCCGTGTATGTGTGTGTGTGTGTGTGTGCATTCGTGTGTTGGCGCCAACTTTGTTTCGCTCTTGCGTTCGTGCTCATTGTTATGGCAACGTCGAAGCGAGCTTGTCAATGTCAACACACGCACACACACACACACACACACACACACACACACACACACACACACACACACACACACACACACACACACACACACACACACACACACACACACACGCACACATGCACACACATACACACACACATGCTGCTCATGTCATTTTCCTTCTCCCCTTTCTCCCCCTTCCCGCGGATGTAGGTACGAAACCGCGCCACGGGCGAGCTTGCAGCCGCCAAGGTCGCCCCTATTCAAGCCCAGGAAGAGCTACAGAACTTCGCCACGGAGATTGAAATCCTAACATCCTGCAAGTGAGTGGCCAACGCCCAGCGACCTAGGCCCACTCACGCACGAGCAGCATGATGACATCGTGTGCCTCCACGATTGACCGTTCTTTGTTGATGCACTGCCAAGCTGACACTCACATTGTACTTGTTCGCCTGGCACGCGCAGACATCGGAACATTACAAACTTTATAGATGCGTACTACAACAACAACGAGCTGTGGATCTTGCTGGAAGTGTGCGATGCCGGATCCCTTGCCGGATACGTCGAGAAGCAACCGTACGTGTGAGACAGCTGGTTTCCTGTTGTGTTCGCTTGATGATTGAGCGTGGGCGTGTGCACGCTGATCCCTCTTCCCTCTTCTTCTTTCTTTCTTGTCCAATGTGTCGACACACTTCAGGTGCTTCATTACCACTCATTACATTCCACTGCCTTGCCTTTCAACCGCTTACGTCTTGCCATCCTATGTTCTTCAATGCTGTCGCTGTCAACCACAGGACGGGCCTGCCTGAGGATGCCATCGAGTGCATCGCGCACCAGATGGTCAAGGGCATTCGCTTCTTGCACGGCTGCGGCGTCATCCATCGCGATATCAACGCCAGCAACACCCTCGTCACTTGTGTGCGTATCGTTGCGTCTGTGTGCATGGTGCTTGCGCATGCGTCCGTCTGTCGGTGTAAGGAGCCTGAGTTCGCTGTGCCAACCGCATGCGTCCACGCTGTCTGTGCTTGCCTTACGACCTCATCATCCCTCTCTTCTCACATCAACTGCTCATTGCACCCACTGCACCATGTTGAAATTGAACGCAGGACGGGATGGTGAAGCTTGCAGACTTTGGCGTGTCCGCCTTCAACAAGCAGGATGGCGCCAAGCGCAACACGTTTGTTGGCAGCCCGCACTGGATGGCACCCGAAGTGATTGTCTGCGAGCACGACCGCAAGGCAAAATACGACAGCCTGTGCGACGTGTGGTCGTTTGGCATTACCATGATGGAGCTTGCCCAGGGCCACCCGCCCTACCACGACCTCCACCCCGTCAAGGTGCTGTGTTGTGCATGCATGTGCGTGTGTGTGTGTGTGTGTGTGTGTGTGTGTGTGTGTGTGTGTGTGTGTGTGAATGTTTGCCTGTCTGTCTTGTCTTTGTGTGTGTATGTATGTGTATGTGTGTATGTGTGCGCGCATGCATGTGCGGGTGTGTGTGTGAATGTTTGCCTGTCTGTCTTGTCTTTGTGTCACGCGCTCTGTCAGCCTGTGTGCTTGAACATCTGCAACCCTTTGTCTGAGATGCACCCGTACAGTCCCCTCACCAACCAAACCCCATCCCCCTTCATCCCACCACCACCACCACCACGATGATCAGGTGCTGTTCAAGCTTGCGTCGGGGGCGCCGCCAAAGCTCGACGACCCGGCCCGGTTTTCCCGCCAGTTTGTCGAATTTGTCGCAGCATGCCTCGTCAAGGACCCAGCCACACGACCAACAGGTGTGTGTGTCTGTGTGTCTGTGTGTCTGTGTGTCTGTGTGTGTCTGTGTGTGTGTGTGTGTGTGTGTGTGTATGTGTGTGTGTGACATAGTGCCACCTTACTTTCCCCCATTCCCCCTTGCCCTATTCGCTTCGCTTCCTCCTTTCCTTCTTCCATCCCCCCCCCCCCAATCTGTCCCCAAGCAAACTTCACTCAGTGCCCGGCCCTCTTTATAACCCCATGGTCGTGTCACTATTTATCGTTTGCGAGACCGGAGCACCATTCCCATACATGTCCACTTGTTTGTCCGCTGCCAGCTGCCGTGCTGGTGGTGGCGGGACACGTGTGGCGGAACACACTTTCGGTTCATTCGTTCCTTTCTTTCATTCATCCATTCTTTCATTCGTTCTTTCTTTCTTTCTTGCACGCTTTCTTCTGTCTCTTTCTTTCGTGCTTATTAGTGTCTTCGTGTTCCCTCTGAATGTGCATCATATTCGGTCGTGTGCAATCACGCACCTTATTGCCCCTTCCTGTCAACTCAACCCCAGCCTCACACCCGCATAAACACCACCCTGACACACCCCGCCCTTGCACCAGCTGCACAACTGCTGAGTCAGCCGTTTTGCATGGACAAATCCCACCCTTCTGCGCTGTGCAGATTATTGCGAAGCCTCAGATGATGATGATGATGATGATGACGATGATGATGATGATGATGATGATGTTTCCTGTTCGTTCCATTGGCATGTGTTGAGTGCTTCTGCGCCACTGGTTACCGTCGCGTGGTGCAAATGCAATTCTGCTTCCTCTCATTCTTCTTCCTCTTGTTCTCCTTCCTCGACAGAGAAGCAAACTGGTCTTCTGCTTCTTGCCCTCTTCTTCCCCTCTTCTTCGCCTCCACCAAGCACACGATTGTGTTTTTTGACTTATCGGTGCGCGCGTGTGTTTGTGCAGTAAATTATCCCGTCATGCAAGCACATGGCCACAGAAAGGTCTTCGTTTAATGCCACCCGCCAGTGCCATTGATGTGAGCAAGGTGGTTCTGCCTTGTTTTTCTGCTCGTCGTATCGACACAAGCAGCAAGCCAGCAAACGCTAACAGCCATCATCAGCAAACAAACACAATGATTGGATGCACACAACACCACTCAATCACAACAGCAACAACACCACTCAATCACAACAGCTACAGCAACACTCAATCACGACAGCGACATGCATCGCAACAGCAATCACAGGTTTGCAAACACGTTGCGTGGTGCCTTTTTCTTCTTCGTTCCATTTCGACTCGCACGCGTTCGTGACGACGACACACGCGCACCGCTGTCGGCATCCAGCCTGCGCAGTTGAGAAGCGGTGTGATGGGTTATGGGATGTGATGGGGTTATTGTATGGAGGGCGGTGAACACAGAAGATGCAGGCAAGTACACAAGTGCGCAAACACGACAAACTCACACATCACGCAGCAATCGTCACCACCATTCGGCGCACGCATCACACAGCATCATCACACCCATGACACACCACACCGCAACCAAAAACACCCACCATACCCATCATCAACACCCCACCCCCACACGTTCACCATCACGTCACTGCAACGCGTCGGCACCACACCTGTCCTCGGCGAGGAGGTCTTCGAGGTCGTCTGTGTCCGCAGCGTCGCTGCCGCCGTCAAACCCAAACCACCGCCGCACCCCATTCACCAGCGACAGCCGCCCGCCCGACGGCGCGCCCCGCCCAGCACTGCAGCGTGGATGGTGGTGATGTGTGTGTGTGTGTGTGTGTGTGTGTGTGTGTGTGTGCGTGTGTGTGTGTGTGTGTGTGCGCGTGTGTGTGTGTGTGTGTGTGTGTGTGTGTGTGTGTGTGTGTGTGTGTGTGTGTGTGTGTGTGTGTGTGTGTGTGTGTGTGTGTGTGTGTGTGTGTGTGCGTACAAAGCACACGGCCAAGCACCTGATACCTCGAAACTGACACACAAACACACACATGTGAACTCACGCGCTGCGAGACCGCCGCATTGATCGCATCGGTCGCGAAGTCGTCACACTCGTCAGCGCTTCTGCACAGCACACACGTGTCAAGATGAATGGATGGTGATAAGCTGGAGTAAGTGTCTGGTGTTGCGTGTGTGTGTGTGTGTCTGGTGTTGTGTGTGTGTGTGTGTGTGAGTGAGTGAGTGAGTGTCATGTGTGGTGTTTTCCATCCTGCTGACAGCATTACCTGCGCCGCCACCGTCATCATCGTCGTCATCGCCGGCATCAGCGTCGTCCAAGCGACTGCTCACCGCCCGCGGTATTTGTACCTGATGCAGTGAAAAGGGGAGGGGGGTCAGGACGTGTGAGATGCAATACACGATTCCCATTCGCATGAACAGCAGCCACTTTGCAATCACAAACAACATCTATGCTTACTCAACAGCCGCATCACACACGCACACACACGCACGCACACACACGCACACACACGCACACACACACAAGCACACACACGCACGCACGCACGCACACACGCACACACGCCGGCGCGTGCTTACCCCAAACGACTGGTGTCCAAGGGCTTCGCCGCGCTGGCGCGCCCGCCGCTCCCGCCGTATCAACATCTTTCCCTCAGACACCGCGTCCTGAAGGGGGAAGGGTGATGGTGATGATGATGATGATGATGATGATGATGATGATGACGGTACGCGATGATGGGTTGGTGATTGTGGTGAGTGGTGGTGATGGTGTTGGCGACATTCGTGCAAGCAAGAAAGGATCATGTGGCTCCAATCGAAGCCGAGGAACCGCACAAGCGACACAATGCACGTCGAAAAACACACATGCACACGAGCGAGTCAAGTGCAGTGCACCTGTGCTGTTTCGTCATCAACCACGAGCGAGGGCACGCCGCAGAACCCAAGGATGCGACTGCCGAGCCGCAGGATGGTGGCCAGGCTGCAATCATGTCGTGGTGATGATGGTGGTGGTCGTGAGCATGCGTGCCTGTGCGTGCCGCAGAGCCGATGCCCACACCTGTACGCAAGTGAGCGCCCTCAAACAACAACATCACCATCACCATCATCAAAATCAACAACATGTTCATCCTCATCACGATCAACACACCTGACGAGGAGAATGGTGATTGGATAGTACGTGTTGAAGTCCTTGATGAAGCCAAAAAAGTCAACATGCCCCATCACCTGCGTAAACGCTGTCGGCTGTGTAGTTGCGCGCGCATGTGCGTGTGTGTGTGTGTGTGTGTGTGTGTGTGTGTGTGTGTGTGTGTGTGTGTGTGTGTGTGTGTGTGTGTGTGTGTGTGTGAAGGTGTGTGTGTGTTTTATTGTGCGTGTGAGGGTGGACACAAACCAAGCGCATGACGTTCGAGCAGCACTTCAGTCCTGCATCATCACCACCATCACCACCACCATCACCACCCCCATCACCATGACGACCACCACGACCACCACCAGCGCGGACCTGTGCAATGTTGCCGGCGGTGACGTGGCTGTCGAGGTGCGCCATGCTCAGGAAGTTGAGGCAGAGCGGAATTGTCAGGCGCGACAGCAGAATCGCAGCAAAGATCAGGCTGACACGGCGGTGGTGTGATACCGGGGTTGCGTGATGTTGCGGGAGTGGTGGTTGCGTGATGTTGCGGGGGAGGAGTGGTGGTTGTGGTGGTTGTGGTTGTAGTAGTTGTGGTTGTAGTGATGGTTGGGTGTGATGGTTGGGTGTGAGGAACGGCAGTGGCAACGCTGGTACAGGAACAGACTCAAGATGGAGGGAGGCACAAATTCAATACCACGCAACAAACGCAAACATAAACACACACACACACTCACACACAAACGCAAACAAACACACACACACAAACGAAACAAAAACACACAATCTCTCTCAAACAAGCACACGCACACGCACACACACAGAGCTCTGACTGACCTTGCAGCGTCCGTCTGCTGCTTTGGCACGAGGTTGTAAAAGTTGAAGATGCGCATGCGGAAGATTACGCGATATGTGCAGAAGCTGAGGTAGAAGAGGGTGAGGAACGCAATCAACTCCAGGTCAAAGTACTGCCCGTTGTGCCCAATAGCCGAGATGAGGATGGCGTAGATGCTGATGGTTGGCTCGGATTGGAAAAACGTCACCTCGGACCACACCACAGCCAGCGAGCACCCCGTCGCCAGCACTGCCAGGCACAGATACACCACACGCCGGATCTGGTGCATGGGGAGGGGGGAATGAGTGTGTGGTGTAATTGAGAGAGATTGTGTGTGTGCGTGTGTGTGTGTGTAGTGAGTGGGATAGAGATAGAACGTGTGAGCGTAAGAAAGTGTGTGCGTGCGTGCGTGTGTGCGTGTGTGCGTGTGTGCGTGCGTGCGTGTGTGTGTGTGTGTGTGTGTGTGTGTGTGTGTGTGTGAAAGTGTGTGAGAAGTATGCGTAGACACCGCTACGAATGTGAGTAAAACTGTTGATAGTGATACATTCCTGAGAGAAATCTCGAATACGCTGTGTTCGCTACGAGTTGTATATC